AGATTCCTGTGGCAACCTCTAGGCTTTCAGTGGCTTGACTTCTGGTGACAAGGGAAGAGTACAAAAGTCAAGTGAACAGAAAAACAATTTTTTTTCTCGTGGACTGCTGTCACCATGTGTGACAGCTGTGGTGGTCGAGTAGGTGCAGTCGTGGTGATCTGAACCCTCTAATGAGCCATTTCAAGAGGGATTCTTTGTGGTTTTAAATCTGTTTGTTAGCAGTACAGTGGTGTTTGAAGTGGCCGAATGTATGCTAGGGCAAGTATGTGGTGATTGCGAGTGTGCTGGTGTGGTAGTTGACGAACGATAATACAGTGGTTGGAACTTTTTTTTTGTGTGTGACAGGCAGAACCTACTTTGTAGATTGAAATGGCTTCAGTGAGTGATGCGAGTGGTGACCAGAAATCTAGTGTCATGATCTCCTGATTTTTTAAATGTCTAGATGACCTCCATCAAACTTAATGGTGAAAACTATGTTCCGTGGGCCAAGTCGGTGGAGGATGCTCAAATTATGACGTGGTTGTGGAACAGTATGGATCCTAGAATCAGTGTTAATTTCATGCTTTTAGATACAACAAGGGATATATGCAAACATGCCAAGAAACTCTATTCTGGACAAGACAACACCACTAGGGTTTATCAACTTTAACAGGAATACTTCATTTTGCAGCAGGGAAATCAGACTCTTGAAGAATATTACGCCAATATGAGGAATCTTTGGAATGAACTTAATGTCTATCATCCCTTGACTCCGAATGTCAAAATTCAGCAGAAACAAAGGGAACAACTAGATATTACACGGTTCTTGGTGGGACTGAAAGCAGAATATGAACCTGTCAGGGCACAGATATTGGGAGGGTCTGCTCTCCCTACTCTACAAGAAGTGTTTGCCCGTCTCCGTAGGATATCTCTCACCCCCACAGAGTGTAACATACCTTCTGACAGATCAGCACTTGTTGGCACTAGAGGTGGTTCTTATGGGCACAGAGGAGGTGGTCGTACAATTAAGGGAGGCCATGGTAACCCTATGGGAGGTCGTGGTAGTGGAGGAGGTCGTGATTCAGGGGGAGGTCGTGGCAGAGGAAGGGGGAGCACTACTAGAAAATGCACACATTGTGGGAGAGAAGGACACACAGTTAACTTCTGCTATAATTTGCATGGCCCTCCATCAACATGGGCTAATCATGCAGCTGTTGGTGGCAGCGAAGTCAGTGATATTCAACTAGTTGATCCAGCATCTTCTACAATCACAACTACTTCTGGGAAAGAGATGATGAGTATTCTAAGAGAGGAGTATGAGAGATTTCTTCAGGCCACCTCACATCAGAATACTGCCACCCTTGCTCATTCAAGTATAGCTTGCCTAGCATCCAAACCCCCACCTTGGATAATTGACTCTAGAGCCTCTGATCACATGATCGGGACTCCATGTGTGTTTTCCTCCCTTTCTCCAACCTCTACATCAAATAATGTTACCCTTTCCAATGGATCTACTTCCCCCATCTATGGTGTTGGTAATGTTAACACAGCATCTCTTTCTTTGATTTCTGCTTTATACATTCCCAAGTTTCCTTTTAATCTTATGTCCGTTAGTAAACTAACCAAACCCTTCAATTATTCGAACACATTTTACCCTTCCTCTTGTGTTTTTCAGGATCTAACGACGAAGAAGAAGATTGGTGGAAGGCATGAACCTAGCAGATTGTATTATCTTGACGGTGGTGGATCTACGGTTGCACTTCAAACCTCTTTGACTCCTCTTCAGTGGCATTGTAGACTCGGTCGTCCATCTCTTAAAGCTCTCAAGCTTCTTGTTCCGTCATTGAGTCATTTGTCGTCTTTGCAATCTGAGTCGTGTCAATATGGGAAACACCATCGGGTTTCCTTCAGTCTTAGAGTTGATAGTCGTATGTTGAGTCCTTTTGATTTAGTTCATTCAAATGTTTGGGGTCCAATCAGAATTGAGTCTTATAACGATTACAAATATTTTGTTTTCTCTGTTGATGACTGTTCAAGAATGACATGGCTTTATTTAATGAAAGAAAGAAGTGAATTATTTTTCATTTTCCAAAAGTTTCATGCTAAAGTGCGTACACAATTTGGTGTTTCACTTAAAATTCTTCATTCCGGCAATGGCATAGAGTATTTTCTTTCTTCATTTCAGCAATACTTGGAACAACATGGTATTATTCATCAAACATCTTGTGCCCACACCCCTCAACAAAATGGGGTGGCTGAGAGGAAGAACCGACATCTACTTGAAACAGCTCGGTCTCTCCTTCATCATATGAATGTTCCTAAATGTTTCTAGAGTGATACATTCCTGACTGCTTGTTTTCTCATTAATCGCATGCCCTCATTTATTCATGATGGCCATTCTTCGTTCTCTATCTTATTTCCCACTTTGTCTCCATATCCTCTGAATCCCAGGATCTTCGGGTGTGTGTGCTTCGTTCAAAATCTTGGTCTTGGGCTAGACAGGTTGGATGCTCGTTTCATTAAATGTATCTTCCTTGACTACTCTAGGACCCAGAAAGGGTATAAACGCTACAACCCTATTACTCGAAAATCCTTTGTATGTCCTAATGTTACATTCTTTGAATCGGTGCCATACTTCTCTACTTCTAATATCCCTTCTCCTACAGAGGTTCTTCTTCCTCTTCCAGTTGATAATTACATCCCAGTGGTTCCCATTATGCCTGAGTCTACACCTTCCCCAATGCAGGAGCGTACTGAAAAGACCACCAATTCGTCAAGTGTATACTCATCGACAGAGGCCAAGACCTCCACCACCTTCTACTCCAGTGGCTGATCAAGCTCTTTCCACAACCGGATTGCCTTCTGATCTTGACCTTCCTATTGCATTGCGGAAAGGTAAACGTAGTTGCACGCTACATCCTATATCCAATTATGTTTATGTATCTCAACCTTCTGCTTCCCATCGTGAGTTTATTACCTTGTTGTCCTTTGTATCCACACCTAAGGATGTTCAGGAAGCTCTTACTTCACCAGGGTGGTGAAAAGCTATGGAAGAGGAACTCTCTGCTCTTCATCACAATCACACATGGGAATTCACCAATCTTCCCCCAAGTAAACATGTTGTTGGTTGTAAGTGGATGTATACTGTTAAGTATCTACCAGATGGGAGAGTAGAACACCCGAAAGCCTGTTTAGTTGCAAAAGGGTACTTTCAACTTTATGGTGTAGACTATGTTGAAACCTTTTCTCCCGTTGCAAAGATTGGCTCAGTACGTGTGATGATTTCCTTAGTTGTCCTACATGATTGGCCTCTCTTTCAGCTTGATATTAAAACTGCCTTTCTCTATGGTGATCTTCTAGAGGAAGTGTACATGGAACAACCACCAGGGTTTGTTGCTCAGGGGGAGGATGGTAAGGTGTGTAAGCTCAAGAAGGCAATCTATGGGCTCAAACAGTCTCCCCCTGCTTGGTTTGGAAAATTCAGTGAAGGGGTGAAGGAGTTTGGAATGAGACAATGTCAAGTTGACCATTCAATATTTAGCTACGACTCTGCGGCCAGGAAGATCTTGCTAATAGTATATGTGGATGACATAGTCATAACTGGTCGTGATAGAGTTGGGATTGATAGATTGAAGAAATTCCTACAAAATCACTTTCAGACAAAAGATCTTGGGAAGTTGAAGTATTTTCTGGGTATAGAAGTTGCTAGATCAAAGGAAGGCATCAACCTCTGTCAGCGGAGATATGTTCTTAACCTGTTAGAAGAAACAAGGTTGCTAGGTGCTAAACCAGTTGAAACTCCCATGGAACTGAATGTAAAGTTGGGAAGTGACACAGGTGAATTGTTTGATAATCCTAGAAGGTATAGAAGGCTAGTGTAAAAACTAAATTATCTAACTATCACTAAGCCTGACATCTCTTTTGTTATCAGTGTAGTAAGCCAGTTTATGCAAAATCCTCGAGTACCTCACTAGGATGCAGTTCTTAGAATTGTGCGGTATTTGAAGGGGGCCCCAAGTCGTGGGTTATTATACAAGCCAGGAGGTGATCTTGAAATAGTTGGGTACACTGGCGCAAACTGGGCTGGCTCTGTATTAGATAGGAGATCCATTACAGGTTATTGCACCTTCCTGGGAGGAAATCTAGTGACATGGAAGAGAAAGAAGCAGACTGTTGTAGCAAGGAGTAGTGCAGAAACAGAATACAAGGCCATGGCACATACATGTGAACTAGTATGGTTGAAGAATCTATTGCAAGAAATCGGGTTTTTAATAAGCAAATCCATGAAGCTATATTGTGACAATCAGGCTGAAATTCACATCTCATCCAACCCAGTTTTTCATGAGAGAACTAAACACATAGAGGTAGATTGCCACTTTGTAAGGGAAAAGGTCATCAATGGTGAGATAAGTACTCAGCATGTGAGAACAAGTGATCAATGGGCAGATCTGTTCACAAAAGGGTTGAGTTCGGGAAGAGTGAGCTATATATGTAACAAGCTGGGATTATATGATATACTCTCCAGCTTGAGGAGTGTTAGAGTCGACTAAAGAGGGGTAATTTGGTCTTTTCCCCTTAAGTAAGGTGTTGACTGTATGTCTCCTCATATGCAGGGGCATTTCAATCTTTGTACTTTATTTTGTAATGTTTAAGCATATGGTTGACTGGGTTAGACGAAGCGTCTTCTCAGTTCGACACTATTCTTCCTCTTCTCCTTCTCTTCTTCTTCCTCTCTCTTTTCTCTCTCTTTTCTCAGTTCGGCTGAACAGCATTTACAAGTTACAATTGCAATTTTCTTTGTCTTAGTACTAAGCCCTATAACTTCTCTTTAGAATGCCATTCTTCATAGAGACAATATACGTGTCAATCTATATATTAAACAGCAGAACAAATGGTTTCAGTTCAGACTGTAAAAAACTGTTACTCATTCAATTTTACATGTAAAATTTGCTGATAAAAAAAGGTGAAACAAAAATAATTGCCACCTAACTAATTTAAAAAAGAAAAGCAATATGACTTGCCTTAATATAGAAGGGCCCCAAGCGAATCAGAGTCTCCCGAAACTGCAAAATAAATGAGTATATAAATTTTAGAACTGCACCAAATCTAAATGGACAGGCTACAATTATTTTATGATGACATGGTGACTTCTAAACATATCCAAAGCCAAATAACTGGAAAATGAAAAAGGAAAATTTATACCACAAAATTCTAAGTTCTCATCTCTTCATTTTTTCTAGTCACGATGCACAAAGAAAAAAACAATACAACTTTAACAGAGTCCAAAGTAGGGAAAACTCATATTTTAACATTTAAGTTGGATTGACTAGTGTTTGTGAAGAAATACAAAGATGAAAAAAGAAGGTCATACAGGCAATAAATAGTTACCACTTAGCCTTCTATCTTTATAGTTATAAAGGAAGATATAAAAACTAAAAATAACCCTGTGAGGAAATAGTACAGTACGTCAATACTCACCATCAAGCTGAGCATAGACATTAGTCATGCCCAGCTTGCCAAAGTTGTGCACAAATTTAGAGTTTCAGACTTAACCACAGCCTTGATAAATAAGTCAAGTCAAAAGGGGGGGCTGGGCTTGGAACACATCTTGGAGAGGAATATTGCTGTGCTAGGCAAGTGGCTGTGAGGGTTCCCCCTGGAGAAGACACCTTATGGGCTTCAGTAATTCAGAGCAAATATGGAACTAACCAGGAATAGTTGGATAACAACTTCTCTCGTAAAATCTCCTCCTTCAGTCCCTGGAAAGGTATAATATCTTACTTTGAGCTCTTCTCACTTTTTTTGTGATATAGTCCTGGTAATGGTACTAGAATTAAATTCTGGACTGACCTGTGGCTCAGTCAACAGCCTCTCTGCTCTTCCTACCCTCTCCTTTTTAGGATTCCTCTTTATAAAGAGGTCACCACCTCCTCTGTAATTTCTAGAGGGGAGCATGGTCTTTCTTTCGATTTCAACTTCCATAGAGCCTTATCTGATGAAGAAGCCCGCGATGTTTTCTCTCTCCTGTCTTCTCTCTCCTCTGTCTTCCTCACCCCTCAGTCCATTGATAAGACAATGGTGGCCTTCTTCAAATGGCCTGTTTACTGTGAACTGTTTCTTCCTTAAGCTGGTGCAAGGTTTAGTTAGCTCCCCCTTCCCCCATAAAAAGATTTGCTTGCAGCAGTTTCTCCTAGAGTTTGTTTTTTGTCTGGGAGGTTTCCAATGGTAGCATTAACGCCTGTGACAGGATATTGAGGAAAAGGAAAGGGATCCTCTATTTTGCTCCTCATGTGTGTGTGATGTGCCTAAGTGATGGTGAATCATGTGTACATCTGCTCATGAACTCTGGGGCCAGGTTCTTAATAGCAGTTTCTTTTGGGTTCCCCCTAACGTAGTGGTTGATTTTCTCTTTCAATGGCTAGGTTGTAAGTTCAGTAAAAGAGGAATCCTCTATGGTAAGGCTATTATTCATGGTGTAATGTGGTGCCTATGGGAAGAACAACAAAAGAGTGTTTAGAAACAAATGCTTTAGTAAACTCACGGATGAGAGTGTCCATGCTGATCAGAGGTATCTCTGTAGGAGACTTAGAAAGAAACCTTGTGCAGGTTTTGAATTTGTCACCTTTGACAGTTTCTATTAGACCCAATACTGTCCCAAGAACTTAGCTGAGTACTTTTTTCGGTTTGTTGGCATCTGCATCAGTTTTTCTAATCATAGAGGTCAGGCAGGTATTGGGGGTAGAATTCTAAATTCACTTGATGATCTGATCTGGGCTTTCAGTGGTCCAATTAGTGTGGCTGAAGCTGTAGAAGCAGAGATCCAAGCCTTACTGGAGGGCCTAAGGAAGGTGTTAAGGCTGAAAACCTCCTTGGTAGTGCTGGAAGGTTGACTCTATAATCGTAACCAATTGGATGAAGAATTTGAATGAGGGCCCTTGGAGATTTACCTATCTCTTGAAGAAGATGTTTCAGCCATATCAACTCATAGGTGGTGTGGGTCATTGCTCTATACTCAGCTCCAACAGTACTCCGAGCGACTACACCTTGCTTCTTACTTTTCCAAGTAATGAAATTGCCATAGAAAAAGGTACAGTACCCTGTAGTAAACCTCCTGTCCATTGAAGAACCTGCCCAATCTGCACTGGAATGTCCCTCTAAGGTTAATTCTCCCCCTTTCTTGTATAGTAATCCCTGGCCTGAAGCACCTTTCAGATATCTCAATACTCTCACAACACCTTCCCAATGAATGATTGTGGGATTCTGCATGAACTGACTCAGAAACCCTACACTAAAGGATGGATCACACTTTAGCAAAGCAAGGGGTCTATAGACAGCAAATGTTTTGGGCACTGTTGTAACTTTGCTCTAGAAAACCTAGAGAGCAAATGAATGGACAAAAGGTTAAGAGGTGATGGGCAGTCTCACCATTCAATCTTCACATGATACACCAGCTAAGGGGCAAAAGCCAATACGGTCTTTTTCTTTGCAATATATCACAAGTACTAATGCTTCCGTGGAAAACTTCCCAGCAAAAGGCACTGATTGTTGGGAGAATAGGAGCACACCACACCTCCTTTACAGGGAAGTATGGAGAAGAGGGAAAGGCCAGCCATTAAGGAGTTAAAGAAGGATTTGCAAGAGAAACTACCATTAGGATTGAAAGACCACACACAGCCATCTCCAACAGAATCATCAAGTACCACCCCACCCAATAGGTTCAAAAGGTTGGACACAGAGGAGATTTCTAAATCTCTAAGATTCCTCCTTAAACCCAGGTTCCAATTCAGTCTTGAGGATGAAAGGTAGAAAAAAAAAATCGAACACAGGTCTCTCTTTAAGGTTGGATAAAGCATATAGAGAAGGAAATAAGTCTTTCAAAGGAGACTCCCCTATCCAAATATCTTCCCAAAATTTCATCTTATTACCAGAAGACCTGTGTTCTGGCTTTCTAGGGTGCAACAAAATTAGCTTTGTGCAACAAACCAGCATCTCAATCATCTAATCATTCTCCAAGGGGTACCTTCAAACCACTTACCCAAAAGAGAGAGATTCTTCTTACTCGCATTACCCATCCCAAGCCACCCTCCTTTCACACACTTTTTCCCATCTAATCAGATGATCTTTCTTCCCTTCCCTAGTTTCCATGAGGCAACTTAGTTACTTGGAGGAGCATAAAACAAAATGTGGTGTCTCGGTCTAGTGCAAAAGAAGAATTTTGTTCTATGACAAATGGAATTTCACAGTTGTTGGGGTTAAAAATGCTTGAACGAGCTTGGTTTTGAGTTTAAAGACCCCATTAAGTTGTATTGTGATAATAAAGCAGACATTAATATAGCCCATAATCCTGTACAGCATGATGAAACTAAACATGTAGAAATTGGCAAACATTTTGTAAGGGAGAAGATTGACAAGAATGAGATTTGCTTTCCATATGTCAAGACTGAAGACCTACTCGTTAAGTTTCTGACAAAGGACCTAATAAAGAAGAAACTTGCCTTTGTACAAGACGAGTTGAGCATGATTGAGATCTATGCTCCACTTAGGAGGAGCTTAGGAATGTCTAGTTCTATGTAAAGAAGGGCATATTTCTTATTTTTAAACACATTAATATAAATAAGAAAGGGTGGGCCAGCCCCATGGTAAACACCCTATTTGATACATCTCCCTTTCTCTCTTCTCCTCTCTCTTCTTCTTTCTCTCTCATTTCTCCTCTTCAATCGTTTTTTTCTCATTTGTTGGTCAGCTTATAAATTCCTTGTTCCTTGTCCTTTTTTTAATAATTTTTTTTATAGATCTTTCTTTAATAAAATTGTGTTCACTATAATTCCCTTTGTGAACCTTCTAGATAAAAGTTTTTGACTCCACTAGGATGGACCAAAGTTCTAGACCCTCCCTTAAAAGTTAAAACTACCTAGACCATCATGGTGATAGGGCAAGCCTTTTAATGAAAAGTAGGGCCAACAGGGCTCTCAAACCCCACAAATACCAAACTACCAAAACAAACAAGGTCAATAGGGAAAATTGTATTACAGGTTTAACATTTTAGTGCAATAGGTGTATGAATCCCCCCCCCACTTGCACTTCAAGGACCTCTTGTTTCCAGGTTGATCAGAGAAGGAATACCTTTGCAGTCATAGCAGTATATACTCTCAGCTTAGTAATTCAAGAACACAACACTGTGAAGATAACACCAGTAAGTTTGTCTCATTGCACCACTTAGTAGGTTTTAAACCAATTTTATAATAGAAAAAATTGTTGAATAGTAAAGTGAGCATAGATAATATAAACATTACCTTAGCTGCACGTTTATGTATGTCTTGAAGAAAGAAGTGCCATACGGTTAATTTTGCCACTTGGAATGAAATAATTGCTGCTCGATACAAGGCCAAAAAAGGACCAAAATGGAAGTAAGCAGAAAAGCTTTTAGAGCTATAAGTTCCTAGTGCATGCCCAAATTGACTCTCAAGCGTTTCCTTCCTTAATTTTGCATACTCAGCTGATGGGCTTTCACCATGGACACTTGTGAAGCTGGTTGAAGAACTGCAAAAAAACAGCAAGCATTAGCATAAAAGACATAATATATATAAAAACAGAATTCCAAGACGAATAATGAGATAGAGGGTAATTGACAGAATGCAGGATATGAGAGATGAATAAATTGAAGTAATAAGGGGCATCACTTTAGATCCCTATGGGTCATAAGAATGAGGTAGAGAGTAATTCACAGGTAGGCCATTGGCTGGATGAGAGAGGGTTTTGACAGTTCCTAGAGGCTTAGACACTATATGACAGTTCCTAGAGAGAGATTGAACATATAACTTAGATCAGTTCTAAATATGCTAATTTGGTAGCCAAGGTTCTCATCAGTATAGGGTTTCCAGGATTCAGTTGTACTGTTGGGCTGACCCCACCCCACCTTGAGTAACTCTTGTATTATGCTATTCCTTCCTGTGTTTCTGGTGGGAGTTTTCAATGGGATATCATTTTAGTTTCCGCTAGAATATTTGGTTTCTTTATCCCATCTTATTATATATTATTGATAAAGTATCCCCTGCTTACAATAAATCAGCTGAACTTTTCCTCTCTTTTTTGATCAATAACAGAAGCAACTTTAGTAATAAAGTTCCCTAACTACCAGGCGTTCACATACGAATTTCTATGCAGCAAGTATGATGGATTCCAATCAAATAATCTTCTCCCAATTCCAATAGTTGTTTGACCTCCTGTGAAATGGTACCTCCTTGAAACGGTTGCAGAAGTAATACCACAATGTAAATCTGGAAAAGAAAATTTAAACAAAAATTAGATACAACAATAGTGAATTGACAGAAAATTATTATAATACTTCTCCAAACATTCTTTTGGTACTTTGAGGTCATTTCCACTGCTGTTAGTCATATATATATATATAGACTAGCATATTTATACATGATGGTCATGCTGCATTCTCACCACCTAGATGGCTTTATACATGATCTATGGTAAGGTGTAGAGAAGATGAAGGGGCGGGGAAGGGAAGGTGCGGTGAAAAATATTGCAGTGGATGTAAGGAGAGCTGGGAAGATGGAAGAAAAGATGAAAACTTTATATGCAAGTTTAGTAGGAAGGGTAGTAGAAAGAGAAGTGGAGACGAAAGACCTTGAGACTTGGGCGACGTTAGAATGGAAAAGAGAGAAGGTGATGGGGGTGAGGAAACTACATGTGGGATTCTGGGTCTCTTGCTGTTCATGTTCCACAGAAAACAGTTCACAGAGTGGGTGCTGGAAACAGAGAGTGAACAAAAGCACCTTGATCTTAACAGATGAGTGAGGGGAGTATCCATTTAATCCTCAAAGACAAACAAGACCTTTTAGCCAGGATCTTATAAATGCTAGTCACTAGACTGATCGGTCTAAAATCATTTGGATGTTTAGCCTCTTTCTTCTTTGGAACTAAGGCTAGAAAAGTAGCATTGACTTGATGAAATACGTAAATTGTCAGACTATGTTATTCATCAAAAAAAAAGTAGCATTGACTCCATGGCTTATGACAAAACTGCTTGCCTAATTTCTTCCTCCTCAAAATTCCTTCCAACCAGCTTTTATTTTCTTCAGAGTCTCAACCAATCCGCACCTTCCAACTCTACTCTATTCTCTAAAGGTTTCCTCAAAATAGATTTAAAATGAGCTACAAAACAATTGGCTATTTCCTCTTGGGAGTCAAGTACCATTCCATCCACTTTGAGTTTAATCACCATAATTTTCCTCTTCCTCCCATTGGCTATTTCATGAAAGAATTTTGTATTACCATCACCTTCCTTGATCCATTTGCATCTAGGTTTCTGCCTCCAAGAGATTTCTTCTCGCAAGAGGACCTCTTCTATTGCAAGGAGAGTGCAAATTTGTCCCCATATCCTCTCTAATTCCTCCTCTTGCAATTTTTTCAGACAAACCTCTTCCCCTACATTTTCACATCCCTCAAGGAGGGTGCAAATTTCTCTTCTCTTTTATTTTGATGAATTTTTATTTTACCATCAAAAAAAACAAGCATATAAGTTACTTCCCTTTATGCTGCAGATGAAGCATTTTTAGTTTTTTTTTTTTTTATAAGTAAACATTTTGAGGTTTATGAATAAATTATTTCAACCATGACCCATGTCCTAATGTTTCCTTTTTTGTTGGTATCAAACTATATTTTATATATTTCATTAACTATCACAAAAACAAATTATATTTCATTAATAACATAAAGGGATGCCAGCTCAATTTTGGTAAACAGTCATGTTAGAGATTTCTTTCCTACTAAAAGAAGCTTGAGGCAAGGCAACCCCCTTTCACCCTTCTAGTTTGCAATCATAGCCAATGCCTAAGTAGACTCATTTCTAGGGCAGATAGTTTGGACTTGGTGCATGGGTGGAGGGTTGGGAGGGAGGGAGAGAGAGAGAGAGAGAGAGAGAGAGAATGTGATTATCACACATGTAATTTGTTGATGGTATCATTGTTTTTTGTGAAGATATAAGGGAGGAAGGACCAAGAAACCTTCAGTTTCTTATTAAGTGCTTTGAAAGGTTCTAATTTGAGAGTCAACCTGTAAAAGAGCAATATTGTGGGGATTAATATTGAGGACTCAGTAATGGAAAGGTATGCAGAGATGCTAAGGTGCATGAAAGGGGAATGGCCAATGAAACATCTTGGATTATCCCTAGGCCCTAGGGAGCAATCCTAGGTCTAGTAGCTTTTGGAACCCAATTTTGGATAGGCTCTAGCTCACTAAGAAATTGTTCAACTTGCAAGAAAAACTACATCTCTTTGGGGGGTACTTGGAGAGGATTACGTTGATCAAGTCAACTCTAGCTATTCTGTCCATTTATTTATATTTTTTGAAAAACAAAAAACAAAAAAGAAAGGAGGCAAGGGTAGTAACTGTCAGTATTCAAACTCCCTGTGTTGGTAGAAAAGAGGTTAAGAAATTAATGAGACTTTCTTTGGGAACCAGGATTTTCAAAAATGGATCATCTAATAAATTGGAGAATGGTGTGTAGAGGAAAGGAGGGTAGGGGCCTGGGAATTGAGAAGTTGATAATTAAAAACAGTGCATTATTGGGAAAATGGTTGTGGAGGTTCCTGATAGAGTCTCCAAAGGCCAAAGGCCATTGCATAAAGTCATCAGGAGCATTCATGGTAACTCTCTCTTATCAATAATAGAACATTTTATTAATGTGAATATTAAGCAGGATACAACAATAAGCTATTGGGAGAAATAAACATTCTTAACCATCCCCCCCCCCACAAAACATTTGTTCCCTTGCCACCCGTTGCTTAACCATTTGAATCTGAATCTCTTAAGGGGCATTTGAACTGAATCTCTAGTTCTTTAGTTAACCATTTGAACTGCCTTTTTCCATTGGCACATTTCCATAATCTGCTTTTCTCATTTTGCAATCATTCTATAACCACCTTAGAATCTCCTTTAACAATAGTCTGTTATAGATTCAATCCTTAGCCTTCCTTAACCCTTCCAATACTGCCATGATCTCAGCTCTAAGAGAATCCCCCACTCCAATAGGTCCAGAATACAGCGCAATAACTTCCCCTTCATCATCAAAGTTCAATTTGATAAATCCAAGAGCTGGTGTAGACCAAAGGGGGCTGGTTTTTCTACATGATGACTTACAGAATAAGGTGTACAACCTCCTGGGTTTGTTGTTACTTGTTTTTTTTTTATCAATAACTTTGAAAAAAAATTCATTAATTAAAATGCTTTAGGATACAACAAGAAGTTGCAAAAGAAATCAGCATAAAAGCTGACCCGGGACAGAATTACAAATGTGCCCAAAACATATATGTTCTTTGAAAAGTTTGCCACTTAAGAAAGATACTTTATGATCCTAAGCAATCCCTTTGGACCCGGTTTGGAAAGTTCAATGAGGCTGTGGTTGCTTTTGCATTAAAGAAGTGTCATTTGGATCATTCAAAGTTCCGCAAGAAGATTATCAGGAGACAAACTATTTTGGTAGTATATACAGATGACATTGTTATTACAGGTGAAGATATGCAAGGCATTCCTACATGGTAACTTACATGACAAGGTGTACATGGAGCAACCTACTAGGTTTGCTGTTTGGGAAGAGCCTAGGTGCCCATTTGGGAGGGCTTTCACACAGTGGCTTCTGGCTTTGCAAGGTGGGCCCCACATAGACAGCCTAGAAGTTATTTTTGTTGAAAAACCCAGAAAGCCTAGATATGACTTCGTTCAGCCAAAAGATTAGCTTTCCCGTGAATTTTGTTCTAGTAGCTTCTTCAAAATAGTTCAGTCGAAGCAGCTTAATCAAAGCTGAAGCCCTCCCAAAAGGGCCCTGGTAAGGTTTGCCGCTTTAGGAAGGCACTTTATGGTCTAAAACAATACTCTCGAACCTGGTTTGACAGGTTCAATAAGGCTGTGGTTTCTTTTGCGTTAAAGAAGTGTCATTGGATCATTCAGTGTTTTGTAGGAAGATTATCGCAGGACAAATCATTTGGCAGTGTATGTAGACGACATTATTATTACATATGAAGATAAGCAAGGCGTTGAAGAACTGAAGCCCTTTTACCGATCGTCGACTAAAATTAGCCTACCGCAGCGCAAATATGTTGGGATCTAAACCATGTTTTACACCAATGGATAAGAAGCTGCTTTCAAATTAAGGGGAAATGTGGAAAAAACTTATATTAAAAAAAAAACAATATTTGTGCAGGGAAATTAAAATTAGGCACTTAAAAGGGGTCCGAGAGCCAGAGATTAAAATTCAACACTCATTAAAATCTTGTCATTTTTTCTCGCTGAAAATGCATTGCATACATTTTTTCATGGGGCTACAGAATGAAGGTAACCTATCCCCCACCCCCACCCCGGTGGCAGCGGGATTTGACCCCTACAGACAAATAATTATTCAATCCCATCCTGTATATCTTAGAGAATTCTATATTAATAGTTTCGGCAATTTTCACTCTAGTACGTTTGTAGTTTCTTTCAGATACCTGTGACTATAAAAAATGGAAAAGATGACTTACTCGTGGCAAGAATTGCAGGGTGGTGGAGAAATAGAGCCGCTAAATGCCGCCGTTTGAGGCCTGCAGTCACATTCCTCATGGGCAAAGGCTTCTTCAAACAAGTAAAGAGCTCATGAACCCATCTCAGAGCAGGTCGCGTTCGCTTGGCATTCCGGCCATCATCGTATCATTTGAATGAATGGTCTAACAGATGTTCGAAAAAATGCGTCAACTTGAAACAGAGGGAACCGAATCCGAATTGGTGAAAACAATGACAGATTTTGAGCACAAAGATGAATAACATAAGCCAAAAAAGAGAAAAAGGTCAGGAATCAGGACACACGAGTAACCGCCAGGTTGCAGTAGCTTCGCGCCACAAAAGGATGCTGAATTGCCATTGCGGCGTCCTTTTAAACGAGAAAACCCAAAATGTGGTATGCTTACCGTGAGAGAGTGGAGTCCGGATTTCCAAATAGGTATGCGTACCGTGAGAGAGTGGAGTCCGGATTTCCTGCATTCGGCATTTCGGCGTGGTGTGCCGGGGTGCACAGTCCACTACAAATCGTACGGGCAACTTTCTTAAATCACCCCTATATAAAGTTTAGAAAAATGATTAAATTTAGTCTTAAATATCCATGTATTCTCAAGGATGAAAGTATCCTTCTATCGGTATTGAGTCTTTGAGTATCATATCCGAATATATGGATATATTTTGGAAATACATAGATACAAATAAAAGATATAAAAATACTTAGATATATTAAAAAAATGCATTCAAGTTATAAAAATACATTAATAATATTAAATTAAAAGCTGAATTATCTATAAATAAGATATAAGCACATGAGAAATGCATATTTCAATAGTTTATATAAAGAGAAATATTACAATCGATTCTAGAACATTCAAATATTGTACAATAATTATCACTCTTTCAATTTTATAATTATAATTTTTAATTTGTATTAATTTTTGGGAATGTTTATTAATTTAATATTTTATCAAACCGATACGATGTGATACGGCCCAATACAGAAACATATCGTGTCGCTACGCACGACTCATGAGATACATATCCACTAATAATGTATCCTATATCTATGATCATGTATACGAATATGATACGCTCCATATCGAGAGTATCTATCGATACCTTAATCCTTGAGTACCCTCAAGTTTTTTTACAATTGACATCGCCCTTAAGCACAACGAAATTTTGAATTTGTCCTATACTATTCTTCAAATATTCAAAATAAAACCTAGGCTACATCATCATCATTTGATATCCAACCTTAGAGAATTTTAGGGATTCCCGTTAAACTATAATTTTTTATAACATTTGTGCATCGTCCTTCGTCTTCCACTGTAGATTGAGGGATTTGTCAACTATCGATATTGGAAAGTTGGTCTCAGACTCTCAGTGACAGGGGTAGTAACTCAAAGAGATAGAGTTGCCACCCATTTTTTAGAGGGAATGGACCCTCATTTTTAGATTCAAAAAAACGGTTTGCTTGCCTTGATAGAGACTCCGTTCTCCATGAAAAAGGCACACAACCGAGTGATTTTAGGTCCCAAAGATTGGGAGAGGGAAAGCATTAGGCACTCCTCTCTCCAAGTTGTTGTAGCAGCCCACTACAAGAGTTGTTCAAACTCAATTTCTTTTAGAGAAAAACATAAATGGTTGCAAGAATTTCTTAAAACCGATTTTGAGGTGATGTTATCGGGTCTTACGTACTGATTTCCCTAAGACTCTCGCCTCTCTGCCTCTATTGTCAATTAAGAAGAAATTGCAAACGTTGATTCTCCAATATTTCAGAACCTCAAACAACCCAGAAAAACTAAAAAAGACATACCTTTCAAATGTACCTTGTCAAAAGTTTTACAGTAGCTATGGTGAAATAATATGAAGTTCAAATGGGTCATTGAGCTAGGGAATGTTTCTGTTTACAACAACTTCCACTTGAAAATGGAAAAGACGAGTTCAGAATCAGAAATTCAGAATATCTCCGAATTTTGGGTAAACAAGAGGTAGTATATGGGCTAGGAGAAAGTTTTATTCTCTTTTTTTCTTTGAGGGCCTCCCTCAAATTTCCTTATTCTTCCCCCCTTTAAGCTCGAATTAGATCAGTATTTATAGAGAATGGGAAGGGGGTCAAGTATGAATTCATCCAGTTATAGTGCCTAGGATTCAACTGAGGTTTTTCACACAAATAGGCAAAGATTTTTCAAAGAAATAAAATGGTCAGTCAAGCTTTCCTATTTGGTAAAACATTTTTTTTTATATGGGGGTGTTTTTCATGGGTTTGTGCATCAAATGGGAGTTTGGGGTGTGTTTGTCATGGCAGTCTCGTATTTGGGGCTATCAATGGTAGGAAATATAAATTTGATGAACTTTTAAATGTTATTTTGTCTGTTCATAGTTTCAAGTAGGGATATCTTGGGGTTTTGGGTTTTTTAGGACTATTGGGCTCTATTTCATTAGTTAAAGTATTCTAATGGGTCAATAATGGGTTTGACATAAGCCATCACCCTTTTGAAGCTTCAAGTTGAGACAGGTGATGTGGCAATTTAATTTGGTGCATCGAAATGGTATATTTCTAGTATGACGGTCAAACAAATGAATCTGGTCATGAAATTTGATGTGCTAGAGTTTTTTTGGGTCTCTGAACACAGTGGTGATGTCTGATTGGTCAAATAGGGTATGAATGATGGAGATCTATGGCTGACAAGTTCGGATTAATAAGATTTGCTACAATAGAATATTTATTTGATGAATGGTCAACCATGGGAATTCTGTGATGAAATTTGGTGGGTTGACACTTTTGGATGTCCTAAATTTAATGAAAGTGATAGATCTTTGATCAGAGGTATAGATTTACTGATTTAGTTCAGATAATAGTCTTAACTTATGGTTTTTCTATCAATAAATGGGCCCAAAATGGAATCTTACTTTTTCAATGATCAAATGATGGTGTTTGGTCATGAAATTTCACGTGTTGTGGTTTCTTGGGTTCTGAACACAGTGGCAATATCTGATTGGCCATATAAAGTTGGGATGACAGATGGTAAACTCTAATTAATGAGATTTGTTAAAATAGGATTTAGGCTTGATGGGGGTCAAACAGGGAAATTTTTAGCTATAATTTGGTAAGTAGGCATGGATTAGGGTGATGAGTCAAGTGGATGGTTCTGATTTGATAAAGACATGGTCGATCATGGTAATCATTCAGGGCCATCATAATGGGATGTTGATGTTTTTGCAGTTGATTATTATAGATTTTTCGTGGGATTCGCTAGTTGATTACTTTTTAGTGATCTTGAAGTGATGGGTGTGTTGGGTTTGATTTTGGAGGAGTAAGAATTTGAATATTTTATAGATAAGGGCCATTATATTTGGGGTTTAGTCTTGAAAATTGATGTATAACTAAGTTGTAGTTTTATAAGTATGGGGGTGATATCTAATCGAATATTGATCTCAAGGTACTTATTCGTCTCGCGGATTGTGTTAAATGAGGGTATTTCAGGTTTTGGAAAGTGTTAAGTTGATCTGGCTGTGTTTCTAAGCTTTTTGGGTCTAAGATAGGGGTACAAAGAGGTATGGTGAAGGGACAAAGCAAAAATTGGGTGCTAACAATGTACAAGTGCTCAGTGGGAGTTAGCATGTGATTAGAGAGAATAAACAAACACCGGCATCAATGTTGCATAAGAACATAACTGCTAAAGATAGGTTGTCCCAGAGACTCTTTGAACACCCATGCAAGGGATGTTACAATAACGCAATTGACGGTGGGAGAAAATGTAAAATATAAAGAAACCGAAAGCTTATCCAACTAAAGCTCAAGAGGTGGTACAAGGGAGTCTGAAGGCATGGGATTGTCATACGTTGCGTAATCACCAACTAAAGCTCAAGAGGTAGTGCACCGATGAAATGGAAACTAAGAGGTTATAGTTAATTAATTTCCTAAACCATAAGTCAATAAGGGTATTTTATGAAATTTACGCAAATCATATTTACATGTTTCACTTCATGACAGCCTCGACTCACATGTGTGGGTTTTATTAATAGGTTCTTTACTTTCCACTTTTTGGAGAGAAAGTTATTAAACATGCATCCTCACCTCGACTCACATGTGTGGGGCCCAAATATAATTTGTGGAACCCACATATCAATTTTCTCCTCAAAGAGAAAATTTAAAGTGGGACCACCTATATTTTTCTCTTAAAGGATGAAAGTTAAAATAGGGCTTGCTTATTGTTTTTCTCTTGAAAGAGAAAATTTTAAGTGGGACCCACTTATAATTTCAAGTGGGGCCCACCTATTAATTTTTAAAAATAATATTTTTTATTTATTAGTTATACATTAAATATTTTTTATTTCATTCAATGGGACCCACTTGTAATTTTTTTAGTTGTTTGGGTTTAACACTGTCATGTCAGCATTTCTATATATATATATATAAACAATGAAGTTTAGAAATTTTCTCCCTTTTTCGAATTTTTTAATTTTTTAATCCATGTCATTTTCAAAACTACAATTAGAAACTCTACTTTCACAAGAAAAAACTTCCTAATATATATATATATATATATATATATATATATATCACATTCCAATAACCTAAATATCTAATATCCTAAAATTTATCCTAAATAACCTCCCCCACTATCCCCAACTTTCTCCTAACTTTCCTTAAATTTTCTCCTAAAGTTTCTCTCCGAAATTATCTCTAATTCTTATTTATCTTCTCCCCCACTTTTTATCTACATATATCTAAAGAAAGTTTGAATTAAACAATTTAAAAATTATTTAAATATTCTAAAAATTTTATGTAATAAATTAAAATATTTATTAAAAAGACAAAAAATAATTATAATTGATTTAATAATATTCATATTATTAATAATTATATAATTTTACAAAATTAATCACGAAATTATGTACAAACAATATAAGTTATGATTTTCTAAATTATTCAAATAATAAAAATCTAACATTAAAAATAAATATTATTTAAATATTTCAATGACTAAATATCTTAAATAACAAAATATTAAAATTAATATTTTAAATCAATTAATAATATATTTCAAACAGTTACTGAATATCTTTCAATTATAATAAATAGATTAAGATTTTAAACATTTAGTTAAATAACTAAATATTTTAAATAACGAAATATTTAACATAACTAAATTTTAAATAGTTAAAATAACAAAATTATGCATTAAAATCAACAAATAATTAATATTTTAAAATTTAAATAATAATATTATTTCAATAAATAAATAACATTGTAAATAACTAATTTCATTTATACCAATTAATAATTCTAGAAAATAAATTTCAAAAAAAACATTTTTTACTAATAATAAATTTAAAAACTAAATCTTTATTTATTATATATTTAGCTATACTAAAATTAATATTTATTATATTTTAGTAATTATTTGTTGTTTTTTGTTATAAAGATATTTTCAATAATTATG